TTGCAATTAAAGCATAAACTTGCATGTACATATTCTTATGGCCTTCATCTCATATTATTACTATCATATGTTCTCCAACAGGGTTTCACCAGTAGCTTTCCTACAGAGTATATGTCGACAAGGAGAGTGACTCGTCTTGCTCTCCTCTTAGACCTTATAAGCTTATTTACTGCATGAGAGAAGGCTGGTTAGTGGGTTTTTCTCTGTAAAGGTTGCATCATGCTGGGTTGGCCATTTTGCGCTGTAAATGTATCCTAGAGGAATCCTCTGTGTGCATATCTTGGCGAGTTCAGTCAGCTGGAGTCTTGCACAAAAATTCAAAATCTGTTTATATTCATCACTCTTAAGAAGATTAGTATGAAACCTGAAATTTTAAACTGTTGTAAAAGGATATTATAAACCCAGTAAGTGACTCCTAACACTGTTTCATTTACGTCAGAACTTGAATGTATGTGAAACATTTTTTGCATTTCAAGTTCATCCCAAAGAACTCACAATTTTTATACTCAACCAGGTGCAATTTGGAGGTTTGCAGGTTGCACAGAAAATGCCGATCTCTGTGCGACGAGCATGGACTTTTTTTTTTTTTTTGTTCTGCATGGTGAGATCATTTTTGTTGCAGTCGGGGCAGTGACAGGAAGCAATGCGCCAAAAGCATTAAACTCTCACACTCCATCACATATAATAGGGAGCCAGCTGCACTGTTGATGTTTCCAAAAAGACTTCTCCAAAACTCTGCAGATACGGTCCTTCTCTGGCTGATAACAGATTGATGTCAAGCAATGCTTGCCACGTCTGTAAGAAGATCTTTCAGTCTTTATCAAATAATAAAACCATGCTAAATCAGAAAGCCTTTGTGTTTGTAATTGCACTCCTCCTCTACATCTAGAGACCAATATGCATTTTCTTCACCGCAGGTGGAACCAATTTGGGTCACGTTTCTTTTGGCACCTGAGAATGCCTCCCTCCTTAAAAAACCCCCAGCAAAAATCTGACATTATTTCCATAATTGATGGAGGTATAACAAAGCCAGTTCCAACAAAAACAGTGTGCTCCTCACGAGCTTAATTTTACATTTTTGCCCTCTACTTCACCTTAAACTGCGAGGAGCAGTGGAAAATCTGTGCTATTTGCTTTTCCAGCAGTTGTTTATGTAAAAATCTATGTATTAAAAATGCATTGAAAGTGCTTCTAATGGTATGTTGTTTGAAGTGTAAGATGCTCATGTCAGAATGGTTCACCTTGGCTAACTGTCCTCTGACTCAGTCAGCCTTGCCCTCTCTGGCCCATCAGAGGGGAGAGACTGAATACACAGGATTTAGCACATGGCTTAAAGCCCCTGTCTGGATTTGTCGCACAGAGTTGCAGCAGAGTGAGCAGCGATGCCAAAGCCGTGCAAAGTGACCTCTTTGAAGGTGAACCCAAAATGTTTAGCGTGTATTTTCTCAGCTAAATTGTGTTTCATCCAGCTTTACGCTATGCTTGGTAAGTTGCCAACGTTGGCAGCAGAACATGACGGGTTCCTTCACTTGTTAAAACTTCTCTTGTGATATTTATGAAATGAAATTTGTTTTGTAATTCTTTAGGATTTCTCCTTCTTAATAATTCACCTCCCTACTGTTCTAAGTGCACACTGTGCTCTGTCATAACACGCAGTTATTTGCTGGCTCAGGAGGGACTTTAAGCTTCTCCGTTTACATTTCTCACATGGAGCAGCAGCAAAGAAACGGGCCCTGTGAGGCCTGATGGCTCTACAACGTGGGCCAAACTCCTGCTGAGTAATGGTGTTGAGCCAAACTCCCAGTGTTAGCTATGCTAGAGGCAGAAGTGGGACCAGCCTGAGATTCATGTTTCATTAATCAAACATTTTAGAGCCCTGTAGCTAGCTGCAGCAGACACTTGGGATGTATCTCTCTTAATGCTCTCCATTTTTAATCAGGCTAATCTTGCACAAAATAAGGAACCTGTTTGGAAATATTACCGAAAGCAAAGGAAAGAATAAAAAGGCTCTTTGAATTATCCGTCATCCTTTAAGCATTTTAAGCATTGCATATAAAACAAAAAAATAAAGTTTGTCTTTATTGCTTTTTAT